CACTGCCAACTTTTCTGATCGACAAGCTCAGCGTCTTAGCTACTGAGCCACCGCGTCCCCTAACCAGATCAGTTTATAGCTAAACAATTAGCCAGAGAGATGGTGGATTTTCCTTCACTAGATGTGATAAACCATAGGTCCAAGATGCTTTAATTTGAATTCAGGCAGCAGGTTGGTTTTAAGAGCCTCAATGGTCCCTTCCAACTCTGTTTCTAGAGAATTGTAGAGTCGTAGATTAACCAGTGAGATACATAGTTGAACAAGAATCTGAATGCGGGTCTCCATAGTCCTACCTTAAGACTGTAATTTCCACATTGTAAAGAGGACTTGAAAAATCAGTTTAGGATACTGTAACAGTCAAGGCACCAGGTGAGAAACTGGGAGGCCTTTGGCATGAAGCATGGATGATCTTGGGCCAGTCACTCTCTCAGCCCTAGGAAGAAGGCAATGGCAAACTACTTCTACAACTTGAAAACTGCAGGGATTAGTCCAAACAATTAACAGGCATCAAGCCTTATTCAAAGGCATGAATGAATGAATGAATGAATGATTTAACTGTGTCTTTCTCTTTTCCTATTAGGTCTCCTAAGGTTTCGTGTACAGGTGGTCCTCAATTTACAACAGTTCATTTAGTGACCTTTCAAAGTTACAATGGCACTGTAAATAGTAACATGGCCATTTTTTACACTGATGACCTTTGTAGTATATATCCTTGATCACGTGATCAAAATTTAGATGTTTGGTAACTGGTTCATACTTATGACTGTTGCTGTGTCTCAAGGTCATGTGATTCCCCTTTTGTGACCTTCTGACAAGCAAAATCAATGGGGAAGCCAGATTCACTTAATAATCAGGTTATTAAAACAACTGCATTGATTCACTTAACAACTATAGCAAGAAATGTCATAAAACGGGGCAAAACTCACTTAAGGAATGTCTCACTTAACAACACAATTTTTGTGGTTCGTAAGTAGAGGGCTGCCTGTAGTTTATATCCTTTCATAATGAGCTAAACTTTTTAAAAACTTTTTACAAACTTTCATTTATTCTTGTTATCTAGAGTGGAGATTGGGCAATTTGAGGATGCAGTGCGTCTTTTTTTTGGTAGCTGCCAATTGAATGAATAAAAATTGGCAGCACTGTTTGTTGCCGTTTTGATAGGGGAAATATGTGAAAACTATAATGCATACTCTAAAATAAGATTGATATACTTAAAAAAAAATGAATTCTCCTCTTTCACTGCTTCATAAGTATAACACTGTCCCTACCTGTTTTGCTTTACCCCATGGCATGCAACGTCCTTCTTCCCAAAAGTACTTGCCCAGCTCCATAAGAGCTCCATAAAAGTTTCCCTCTTATCTGGAGCTATACTTTTAAAATAATTTTACCCTGCTGTAAACGATTGTGGGGATTTTGCTGCAGGGTATTTACTACCAAGGTTAGATATTTTTCTGTTAGAACAAATAATAAATTTGGCTAGCCAAATTTCCCTGTTTCCTCCCCAAAAATCCATAAGGGGGTTTCAATTTTGTGAAGTGACAAAACAAGATCTTATCTCTCTTTTAACATTTAAAATTAAACTTGGACATGTTTACACAGCATTGGGTTTTCCAAAGAATGTAGGATTCCCTCAGGACCTCCAAGATTGGTCATAACCTCATGTAACTGTCCACACAGTAGGTACTAAGTAAGTCCTAGATATTTGCTTAAACTCTCAATTTATTTGCCAGTAAATAAATACAATGCCATTGAGAAGTCCTTTGATTGCTTGAAGCCAAAATGGGTTTCAATTTGAAGGATCTCCTTATGATGCTCTCTTCAATAAGGCTCAATGCTTTACTGACGCTTGTAATTTTATCTATTTTTTAAATTATTAGATGTCCTGCAAACCTGGTATTAGAATAAAGATTAAAAAATTGACTCAACCAAAATGCAACTCACAAATCCATCTGCATTTACTACATTGCTCAATACATTTCCAGAAATACTAGCACATAAACTCCAATAATACATGCTTAGAAGCAAACACCGAATTGCCTTTTTGCGTATCAAAAGTCAAACAATTCCCAATTGGGCACTGTCAACTGAGTCTCAGCATTTATACTGAACACGGATGGAAGTGACTTTCTTTTCCTTATACTTCTGCAGCGTAGCCAGCCTGTTCCAGGTCTATTGCTTCTGGTCCCTTTGACTGAAACTACAGAGAGACCCATACTGAAAAAGAGCGTCCTTGTATCTTGGCCAAGGAGTAGAGACAAACTGCACTGTCTAGGAAGCAATTCAAAATCTACATGAGAAGAGAAACGGCTAAGCTGAATAGATAACCCGGGGTGAAAACAGCAGAGACCATACCAGATTCTAGTGAGGCAGGTGCAAGGAATAGTCAAGGGACAGGTCACTGTTCAAGAGACCGGATAAACAGCTGAAGGAGAGGGTTCAGATTGAAACAAAAGAAGGATGGCACAAATATTGTTTTCAGCATTTGACTTCTGCAGGAGAGCAGTAAAGGTCATATAGTAAGTTCCACCTAAATCCAGGCTGCACTTCGTTGTTCTCATGGTGGAATGATCTGCTCTTGTGAAGTACTTTCTGGGCCTGAAGTCCAAACTGAAGAGAGGTGGGCTAGTTTACACCCAGGACCCTATGCTCAAACTGATTTTTTTTCAGATAGGAGGCTTTCCACAAGCTTTGTATTCTCCACCTCTGATCCTAAAGAGGTCTCAATCAGGATCAGGACTGGTGGCCTTTTCTAGCTTCCCTTCTTTTCCAGGCAATATCACATCTTGTGTTTATTTTGCAGATCTGAATAAAAGAGAACGTCAAGATGCAGATGTACTACTGTTATCTCCACCATAAACAAGTAATTGCTGGTTCAAAAATATGACTTGGTTTGCTTTTTCCTTCCTTCCTGCCCGGCAACCTCCCCTGTGGAGCTTTCTGCTCATCTAGTTTTTCTTCATTCCTCTCATTTTGCTTTGTGTCTCCAGCTTTTGCAGTTTGCCGCACACAATAGACACAATGGGTTTGATCAGCCAGGAGAGGGGGCATGCAATCTGCACAGAAACACCAGCTGTGACCTGATCCCAGGAGACATCGTATTTCAGCCTCGTGACATGTTTCACCCTCTCCTGACCTGGTGCCTGTGCTGCACAAACTATGTCTTAAATGGGGCTACAACCATTTGTCAGTCAGTAGACAGAGGGGGAGGGGGAGGGGAAGGGAAGCCAACAAGGGTCCTCTTGTTAGCTGTCTACTTTGGAAATCTGCTGCTTTGTGGAAAAAGTAATAGTGAAAATGATGGGGGCAAAGAGATTAAGATACTTTGATAATTTAACAAAATCTACTCCAACCTTCCAAGTAGCGGGATTTAAACAAAATACACCTTCAAATTAATCTCTGAAATTATCTGAGAAGCATCTAAAACTTGAAAATAATCAAGACTATTTTGATCTGTGAAAATCGTCTTGTGAAATGATATATGTCAGCAACAAGCAAAACCTTGCATACACCAGAAAGTGGGACGAGGATCCAGAAAACTGGTCTTTCCCAGAAGCCCATGGGACTGTAATATAATATCCCTATTTAAAATTATACCCTTAAAATGTATCATCTTGTTAGTGATCTAATAACTAGACTTCATAACAAAGCATATGTATGTATGTATGTATGTATGTATGTATGTATGTATGTATGTATGTCAGACTAACACTATACAGAAGCCTGATGATGGCAGATGAGATTCTGCCAAAACGTTGCTACAACTTTATATGCACAACTATAATGACATGGGAAAATACCCAAACAAAGCTGAATACCATACATACATACATACATACATACATACATACATACATACACACATAGATACACACACATACACACACATTTCCTAATTAATTTGCAGGGTTCAATTGCTTTGCATGGCGCAACATGGGAGTTCTAACATGGGACTTTTGCAGAGCCTGATGCTGATTGAGCAGAGAGGGAGTGATTGGCCCAAGGTTATCAAGCTGGCTTTAAGAGAGATTAGAAACTGGATCTTCCCTCTCCTATTCCAATATCTTAATAGCACACACATCATAGTTCATTGGTGTGAGCCCAGAACTGCAGGTTTTCCCTATAAAACAAACCCTAATAGCGTAGGAATGATTCTTGCTTGCATCCCTGCTTTCTTAGCCAGTCCCTTCCATCCCACCTCTGCATCTCCTGATTTCTCCAGGGCAGCTGGCCTTGACCGCTCCTGCTTCTTCTCCTCAGCAGCTGCTGGACTCTTATCCTACATCTTGCCTAATTAATAGCTATAATAGGTTATATATTTCATATAAATTCTTCCCAGCCAAAACCATAGTCTCATGTTCAATACATACATTATGTTGTACTGTATATACAAAGATATGAGGCTTGGCATTGTTTTGCGTCAGACCACTGAGCTACCTTTTTAAGATTAGGCTAAATAAAGATATGACAGACTTATTATGTACAAAAGCAGACACCGAACTATAACCTTTCTCTACTTAGAAGCAAAGTTTTATAGATTATTCTATCGCTACTGGGAAAAGTATATTCACAAAGATTGGGGCATTTTCTATTCGCAAAGCAGTTTCCATGACTGAAACAAAACTCAATGCAATTTTCCATTAGGCTAAAATGCCAGGTTTCCTTGGTTTACTGATCAATTTGTTTCCCCCTAAAACAGATCAGATGTAGCCCTTATGATATAAAATGAAACTGTTTCAGTCTCTTATTGTGGTATAGATTTTGCTACCTGGGTTTGAATGGGTATTAATAGATTCAGTAAAAGTTAAAATAAAAAAGTTAAAATTCTTATCAGCTAGTGTTTTATTGAATTCAGTGCTCCATAATATATAAACAAAAACAAACTGGAAAAAAATCATAACCAGCATGATTTGGAGACTTACTGTGAAAAAAAAAAATGCAATTCTATTTATTTATTCTGTTATTTATTAGAACAATTACTGCTTTGCTAGCAAAATAATTGTTAGGGGGATATTTCACAAATGCACTGTATATTTAAATTAATAGGAATAAAATAATACTGGAACCCACTGTTTCCAGTTATTGTGATTCTTAAACAAGTGGCAATCCAGTGGATTTAGAGTGTACTAGGGCAAGATTCACAAAGCGTCCTTCAATTTTTAAAATAATTTTTCAAAAAATGCTGATAAAGCAGAATGCTGATAATATACAGCTACACAGCAGAATGTTCTGCTTGGATATCTTCCACAGGACAACAAACAGATATATTTCCATAGTGTAATTTGTGCATGTGGTTTAGCTTGGCACGGAGAAAGATTTTCAGCCAACTCAGATCAATAGCTGGAAAATCAAAACGGTGACTCTGATCCTTGTTCCTGTACTGTATATACTGCACCCAATGTATGGGGATCTCAATATTCCCACAAAAGGCAGATAAATTTTACATAAATTTGCAACAAACAGAAATATAGTAATATAATACAAGCTCTGAAATAATGTTAATTTATGAAACCATTTATAAAACTCTTTATATACATCATATAAATTTTTAAAAATAGTTCAGCAGACCTGTCCAGTAGTAATATTTGTAGCCAAGATACCCACTTCATTTGAAGTAATTTAAAATATAAAATATGACTCTTTTTCAAAACCAATTGCTTTCAAGCACTTCTCCATATCTTCATTAAATGTCACTGAGCCACATACTAGTACAAAGGGTTTCCTTCTACATGTGTTCACCATACTCTTAATCAGGTTTTCATTTATTCAACCAAGGTGTGCAGTCTCTTGAAAGCTCCATGGCAGATTTTTAAGTGACTGTTCCTAAAAGGAAAAATAGATAACATGTGCAACATTTGCAAAATTCACAAAAATATATGATAAATTCCAAATTAAGACTTCAAAATGCATTTTCAGAACCTCACATCAATAGAAACAAGTCTTGTTTGTCTAACACAGTCATTAGATTTGTAGAGACTTTATTTTAAAATAGAATCCTACTCTTCTGTTTTAAAATGCTTCACAGAAGCTCCTAATTTAATAGTCCAAATCCAGCTAAATTAGTCACAACTAACTTTAGCTGGACCATTGCCATTCTTGGCTAATACGTAATGCTTAGTTAAATTTATCCGAAGGTAAAGAAAATGTATTCATACAAGAAGGATTGAACCTTTATCAGGTTAAACCCAAAAATCATACTCTTCCTTCAAACTAGCTGATCAAAGCAGAAGCCTGAATATTGTGATGATTTCTGAAACAATTGCTTGAAAATGTCACTCAGATATGCCCTGTAATGCTGTTAATATGGAATAAGTAGTTTACTGTCTCAGAAGCCCCATTTGTGCCATAAGAAATGCACAGGATTTATGTATTTGTAGGAAGACAGAAAATGTAGAGAGAGAAGGAAAAAAGCATAGAAAAAAAAAGAGAAATGGGAAAAATGGCGCTGGACTGTTAGCCGTCCTCTATAGATTTTTAAGCTGCCTTGTGTTCTCCAAAAGTAGCATGAAAAAGACTGAATCGGGCACCAAAAAAAAAAACCTGGCTCCAGAATTGAACAAGTTCTTCTTGTTGCCTGCTCTAACCCAATATCTACAACATAGGAAGTAAACTACTTTGGGATCTCAGGCCTTGAATTAATATAGATGTGTTTAGAGATGTTGCAGCTAGATCACTAAAGTGCTGAAACTATTTAAAAGGGGATCAGATGGAGGGGAAGTTCTTTTCAAAACTGGAAAGGGATCTGAGCTGACTCTTGCAGGAGTGCGTTCCAATGCTTATTACCAATACAGGATTGACCTCTCTCTGGGGTGCCTGGTGAAGGGATCTCACATAGTGAAGGCATGAAAAAAATAAATTTGCATCTGTTTGATCAAACTTTATCTTCAAAGATTGGTGCTGCATTTGCAGAGCTTCAATCAGGAAATCCTTCTTAACCCTACCTGGAGTCATCAGGGATTGAACCTGGGTGCTCTGCATGACATACACGTACTCTGCTGTTAAGCTACAATACAGAGTTACATTGAGAATGCAGGTTTGTCATGAATTCATCACCTACCATTTGCAAAGCCCACAATCAAATGAAGGGATTGTCTCAGAAATACCAAGGGACAATTTCCCAATCAAGTATTTACCTGGCTTAATACATAAAATGTCCTGATGTTCCAGAATCGAGACTGTTCTTGAAGAAGAGCTTTCATGTAAATATTTTCAAAAGTTCTGAAACAGCCTATCAGAGTTACAAAAGTCTCATCATCTTCATTTGCGGTTATGTACTGGATAATAGGAAGCATTGGTGCTATGCCTGTCCCAGAAGCGAGCATGAGGAGTTCTCCATACTAAAAATGAAACAAAATATAGCAAATGTGTCTTAAGTCATCAAAAAAAGGAAAGCAAATATTTTGCAAGATGAATTTATGATACCACTTCATCATTTTCTGTTAGGGAAAGGGATGGAGTAGAAAGGAGTGACATTCAAATGTCTTGAGAATCCATTTGCGTTCAATGTTTCCTTATTCCTAGACTGAACCTCAGTGTTATCCCTGTGTTCCTAAGAAAGAGTCAATTGTTGTGTAAGCATCCACAGCTCTGCTCTTTGTTGTCCATTTAATGAAAGCAGCATCACCCTTTTGTACTGCAAACTTAGCCCCTATAGACTTAGAATAACATTATTGTCACTTTGAATGTACGCTAATCGGTATACATTATAATGAAAATTTGTTGCATACAGCTCTGAAAGGGTCACCACCTCCAATATACACTACATAAACATGACAAAATAAATACAAAATTCTGCATATACCTACATGCCCACATATATGGCACCTGCATGTATGATAGCATGATGCACATATACGAGTGGCTCTTGTTTTTTATAATAGAACAATGCTGCCAATTCCATCAGAGTGATTGATTGGAAAACACCATCACCCTCCTAGCTCACAAGCAACTCTATGTGGGAATGTTTTAAAGACCTTCCTCTATAAATAAGGAGAGAAAGAACAGTGCAGACTGGATGCAACTGGTGCAAGGCCTTACTGTAAAGTTGCAACAGTGTAAAACTAGAGTTTACTCTTTAATTACAAAATAATAAAAAATGGTGGTCAGATTTAAACTAACAAAAGGAGAATTTGGTTTTACATTACTTCGATTTAGATCAGACCGTGCTGGATGACTCCACCTAAGGTACATATATGTGTCACCAACAAATAAATATGGTTTTTTTGTTTCAGATGAACATTTGCAGTATAAACCTATATATAGGACCAAAGGAATACTTATGTAATGTTCTTTAGCAAGTGAATTTTAGATTTCAGCCTTAAATTATCTAGTTAATAAAAAAATCCATAAGATCATTATTTATTTGGACGACTGCTTTATAACTACATAATTTTGTATTCAGAATGATGTCTGAAGGATGACTAGCAAGATTTTAAGAAGACGATGCTGTTAGCTATTAATTAGCACAGCCCTAGACATGTTTAGCCCATTGTTTGAGCTTGATGAGCACTGCTTTCAAATAAAGGGGACTAGGACCATGCTAGAAGTATCCTAGTTTAACTTCATATGTAAGTAGCATTATTTAATCTGGCTGTATAAATGTTCCAGGATGACTTCATTAGACAATTTGCCTTTAATTGCATGTGCAGTGGGATTGGGCTGTTATTCCATTACCACAGGATTTCCCCACATTGGCAACTGTAAGACACATGGACTTTAATTCCCATGCTGGCTGGGGAATCCTGGGGGTTGAAGTGCCTGTGTCTTAAAGTTGCCAAGTTTGGAAACTCCACATTATTGAATTTTGTACTTGGAAAGTATTTGCGTTCTCCCCTCTATTTACAGTATAGGTAATGCTGCCATAAGATCATACACTGATAGATGTGAATATGTACTTCAGCTGTATGCTACAATTTTTCTTTTTCAAATTTGAAAAATTATAGTAAATAATGACAATGTTTACTGATATATTTCTACTATTCTCAAAATTGGTTGGTCCAGTATGTAGAAAATGTATGGCTATGTTCAAATTACACTTTGTGACCCTCTTAAACTATTGTATGACTTCAAATAAATGACATTTTCAAAATCTTCAATCAGATATCCTATGGCTATTATGCTGTTTAATCCAAGACTTTAAGTTACAGGAATAAATCACATATAATCAAAGTACACCTGTTGTTAGTGATTCCAAAATAATAATCATAATATCTGGCAACATCCAGTTACCTAGAACTCTCTGTATATTAGTCCACATTGCGTTACCCCACCCTTCTCCAATATGAAGCTCTCTAGATATAGCAGTCTTATAATTCCCATAATTCCCAGCCAAAGGTAGGTATGATAGTCCTCCTACTTTGGTTTCATACATAACTATTGAGGCACAATATTTGCCTTTGCCTTAGTGAAGTCATTACAGCATAACATTGTATGTGAACAAAGCAAATACCACCAGTAGTAATTCTATAATCACTAGATATTTAGCGATAAGTAGTTAAGCCTGCCGCAGTGTGGGAATAACACTAGGAAGGATTTAGTAGTAAGTAGTTGAAAGGAGAAATCATAGATGAAAATCCAGAAAATAAGATTAAATCCCCCAATCTAAAAGTTGCACAAGAACTGATGGTATTTCTAGAGTTAGGGCTAGATGGTCAGGGCAGATTCACACATTTCCAGTGCAAACTTATAGTACACACTCAGAAGCAAATAACTATTTCAGAGATATGTTTTTTCTAGAAGAAAAATACACCAACTTTAACACATTGCAAATCTTGATTGTTTACTGTATTTTCTAAGTCATTATGGTAAACAAACAAACACAGCAAAAATTCAGGAAACAGGAAATTGATTTATGGATTTTTTTTCTTCATTTTTCAAAAACCAAAAATGAATCAATGTCAGTGGCTGTTTGCTATCTGTTATAGATATTACCTGATTGGCTGTATAAGGAAAACCTCCGAATGGTCCTCTCCAAAAAATGGTGTCTCCTGTTTTCCATGATTTTATATATTGGGACATTAGTCCAGTTTTATAGCACTTTCAAAAAAAAAAAAAGAGTCAAAGAAACAAATAAAAAAAAGATAAGAGAGGGAATACAAACTTGGAACCAGTAATTCGCATCTTCTCAATTGAAACTTATGTGACTTAAAAAAAAAAAAGCAGTTGGGTACATATGAATATGGGGAAAAAATTAAATCAGGGTGATACTTAAATCTACCATTTGTGTGCAATGCTTCATTACATTAGATTTAAATTAAACGTTGTCTTTTGCTTTTATTCCTAATTGTGCAGAAAAACTACATAAGTATTTTTAAACTTGCTCAAACTACAATTTGCAAGCAAGATTTTTTATTTAGTAGATATACTAATTGGCAGCAGCTGCAAGTAACCATTCATCTTCTGTATATTTATAGAAACAAGAGAGCATTCTGAGAAGTAAAATTCCAGTTGTGTTATTTTGCCTTGAGTCTTCTTTCAGTTATGAATTTTGAATAGAAATGGATCTGTGACATACAGAAATTTGTTCACAATTGAAACCCTCAAATATTCATAAGCAACACTGGTAGGAAATATTTTCATGCATAACAAAAGAAGTGGGATAATGAAAACCAAGATTGCCAATTTATATGTTATTGTGCCTAAGTTTTGGGCAAATAACTTCCAACGGGAATCTAGCAAAATAACAGAATTTTGTGCAGCACCTTTAAAATTAAAATATTTATTATAGTGTAACTCACTGTACATGTTATAGATTCCTCTTCCTTAAATTTGCATTGTTTTTACCCAGCAATTAAAATAAACGATTTATTCTAATTTATCAATGGTAATTTCTACTGTTACATTTTGCATGTGGTATTAGACTGCTTTTAGTGTAAAAAACTGTGTCATGTTAAAAACCGTTGGCAAGTCTAGCCACAGTGAAGAAAATGGAATTAAATTAAAGAGGTTGGAGAATCAAGACTTCAGCTGCTATGTATCTCATGTAATGGAATATTGGTTTCAAGGGAGAAAATGTATTAAGAATAGATTTATTCTTCATCTCAATGCAGAAACAATCAAACTGGTTTATAATAAAGTCTTTTAAATAACAGAAGAAAAAAATCCTGCAGAGAAAAACTATACCGGGTTTTACCACCACCACCACCCCACACACAAAAAATCATACTATTAAAGAATACTTCAAAAATAAGGATAAGGAAAGAAAATCACCACTCATGCACACTTAGCTGTACTGCAGTGCTGTAATCATGGAACACAGTGACATTTGAATCGCACTTGGGATAGTACTGCTAGTTGTAAAAGCACTAATAGTTATACTACTATTAATAATACACTACTTTCCAAAATTGTCTGGATTAAGAGACACAACAATCTACACCAAGCTATACAAGCGATGGGCGTTTCCATCTCTTTTGTTACTGTCAGAGAATAACAATGGTTTCAATGGGTTGAATAGGTTCTATAGGAAAGGTAAGTATTATTACAATCATTATTACTATTATTGTAATACAAAAAAATCTATGTAATAAGCAAGCACAGTCAACCTATAAAGATAATGTAAATACAGATTGAATATAGTAAAACATGTCAGAATAACTGAGTTGGAAGGAACCTTGGATGTCTTCTAATTGAACCTCCTGCTTGTCCAATCTGTCCTAAAAAGCCTCTAGTGATGGAGCACCCACAACTTCTGAAGTGCCCCTGATTAACTGTTCTGTCAAGAAATTTCTTCTTATTTCTAGATCAGACATCTCCTTGATTAGTTTCCATCCATTGCTTCTTGCTCTATCTTTAGGTGTTTTGGAGAATAGATTGACCCCCCTCTCCTTTGTGGTAGCCCTTTAGATATTAGAACAGGGGTCCCCAACCGCCGGTCCGCGGACCGGTCCCGGTCCACGGAACAAGTCTTACCGGGCTGCTGGTTGCTGGGCGCCGCCATCTTTTTTTGATAAAAAAGTGCTTCCGGTGAGCTTTTCCGGGTAGAAAGCTCACCGGAAGCACTTTTTCGTCAAAAAAAGATGGCGGCGCCCAGTTGATGCTGGTACCGGGCCGCGGCGCCCAGCTGATGCCGGTACCGGGCCGCGGCATAAAAAAGGTTGGGGATCACTGTATTAGAACACTGCTGTCATGTCATCCCTAGTCCTTCTTTTCATTAAACTAGACATACCCAATTCCTGCAATCGTTTTTCATGTTTAGACCCTCTAGTGTTCAGAAAGATTTATCTATAGTTGTCTTGTACAACTTTAACATTTCTAAAGAAGTATATTGACACCAGAAAAACTAGCACCTATGGTAAAATCTTGAGGAGTTCAAACTCCTAGTAATGAGCAGAAGGGAATTTGGTGGCTCATTTATGATTTGCTTCAAGGATCTACTGCAACAAAAACTGTTTTCCACTAGGGTGTTCATACCTTGGTTTCTAACAATCTTTTTTAAGTTGCAGGAATACACATTTCATTTCAGTAACAGAGAACATCTTGAAACAAATCAGCTCTGTTGTTCCATTTTACTGCTTTGTCTTACTGCCTAGCTTTGAGTAGGGCTTGGTATGGGGCAAAGGGAATACCAACAAATCAAAACTTTAATGGCAAGCCCACCAGTTCAAAAAAGCCAAAGCCGAGCACTCTTGGGGCATAAAAGATGACTGTTGCTGTGTCAAGCTGTTAATTTATAGAACAAAGGCACCTATTTACCTTTATTAAAACTTCAAAGAACCCTTCGGCATTCACAGGCGTAATTGGAGTATAAGCTCTCTGAACCTCCAAACCATTCACTACTCCTCTGAAGGAGAAAAAAAATGAGAAAAGGAGCAAAGATCAAGGGATGGAATCTTGATTTGAATCTCAAACAATTCTTGTAAGTCCTGTACGGGTTCTCATAACAAAGGCTGCAGCCTGAAAAGCACTGCAGGCTGCCTTCCTCATCTCCATGGGTTATCTTCTGCCAGCCAAACAACAGATTATTCCCTCCCATTTTGCAGTAAGATCGCAGAGATCCAAGTATTGAAATAGGTTTTTTTTCTTCAACACAGTTATATTACCTCCTTAACAATTCTTCCCTTTCCTAAAGCCAGACATGGTATTTTATGTTGTACTGCTCTGCTGCTGCAAAGTAAGAAAAGAACGACACTGGGGAAGGTGAGGACTATTAATAGTTTGCAGCAGAAAAGGGTTTTCACCCTGACACCATTGTTAAAAGAATAAATAACCAATGTGTAGAAATAAAAGTTAACAAATGATACCTGCTATGCTTAACAGCCTAATGTTTTTCCAATGAAATGTATTTATATATTGTATTTATAAGCCAGCCAATTCTGGACAACATTGGGCAGTAAATAATTATAAAAACCAAGTATAAAAACAATTGATCCAGAGAAACACAATGGTTAACCTGAGGGGAATAACCCACAATCAATCTCTCACCTAGCAAAGGAGCCCTCCAGTCCCCTGGCACAAATCCTAGGATGCAGCTAGGTCTTAAAATTCTTACATTTTAAGAAAAGCTGCTCCGCAGGGCAGGAGCTATTACAGAGAAAGGATGCTTCTGGGATTACATCAGGACACATTCTCAGCAGATAGGACATGGGGCATGACAACTCTGCCTGAATAGACAGGATAAGCAGAAACCATGGGAAACAGGGAGTCCCTCAAATAATGAGGCCTAAGCCATGAAGTTCTTTGTAGGTAATAGCCAGCACCTTGAATTATATCCAGAAGCTTGCTGGCAAGTAGTGTCGTGCAGTCCACAAAGCAGAAGTATTACATCAGGGCTATCAAACTCACAGCCTGTGGGCCAGATGGATGATGCCCTGGCCATGTGCACACCCAGTTTAGTAAAGGGGAAAAAGGTCCTGATATGTCACGTGACGCCGCCGTGATGACATGAGTTTGACACCTCTGTATTATATGGACATACTATGGTATGCCCATAACTGCCTGTACTGCAACATTTGGACAATTGAATGATCTTCAGGGACAATCCACTCTAAAGTGGATTGCAATAATCTGTACCCAAGGTGAATAAGTCATGTGACCATGAACCTCCTGGTTCAGAAATAAGCATAACTGGCACAGCAAATAGATCTATAAAAAGATCCTCCAGGCCATAGTTGTCATCTACTAAATAAGTAGGAGCTGAGAGTCCATGATAATCTTTAGGCCAGAGGTGTGTCCTGAATACTACCACATCCAAAACTAAGGGTAATGTTTCCCAATTCCAACCAGGCCATTAACAAGACTGACAGGGCACTGTCAGTTAGTTGAAGTTACCAGTTCTGGCATCTGGTGGTTTTATATGTGGTTTTATACTTCTCTGTGTTAGCCTTCATTCTGGCCCTTGCTGCAGCTCTTCCACTAGCATTTTCCATCACCACTGACACTTTCTGGGGCTACTCCTTGACTAATTAGGAATACACAGACAAAATACTTTAATCAAATCTTTCTCATTAATATTCTTGAATGCTTTTAAAAGTCCCAAGGGCTCAAATATTAAATGCCAGAATTGAGGAATTTTGGAAATAGAAAATCTTGGACAATTTGCTCCTTGATAGTGTAGGAATATTCATTCACCTAGATTCATTATCACATATAACTGTAGACTATGCAGTATAAAATAAGCAGGTGGTTAAGATAGGTCTAACATCTTTGCAAGATACAAGTTTCATTATTAAGCCTGATAGGTAGGTAGGTAGGTAGATATGTATGTATTTGTTCTCATTTTCTGGTTGTATTACCATATTATTTTTCCAAAATGTTAATATCGAATAACAGCTTTAGAAATAACCCCGAATAGCAAAAATTGTCTTGTAGACTATAACTTCTGTGATACAAATGATGATTTAATCATGAAAACCAGAGTTTTTGTCCTGAGGTTGGTGATATTCATTTATAGAAATGGATCTAAGTGCAGTCATTTCAAAAACTAGAAAGTGACTTGACACAGAATATCTTTGTCAACTTCCATTATCTGTCAAGTGCAAATCAATAACTGATAGCTGCGGAGTTCTATACAGTCCATATTATTATCATTATTAAGTTACGTGAAACATCTAGCTACCAAAACAATTGTATAAGCTTAATGCAACTGCTTGCTAATAGCAGGTTTATTTATATGACTATTTTAATGGCTCACAGATCATTCAGCACATTGCACAACTATCTAACAATATGTCCATAGGGCAAAACCTGCCAGTTACTTTAACTAATAATTAATCTATTAATTAATAAATAATTAATAACTAATAATTGTTGGGAAGTTGAAAGTTCCTATAATTCTTTGGAATTTCTTAGAGAAATGACAAAATACAATTATAATAAATACATACATTGACAAAGAGATAGTTTTATACTACATTTTATATACTATATATATATATATATATACATTTTATATACTACATTTTATATACATTTTATATACTACCTAATAGCAAAACAGGATCACATTGTCCTTGTCAATCAATTCACCATAATTTTATACCCTCCTTTTTCTAAAAAGTGGTTTTCGTATGCACATTTAATTCTATCTCCAATAATAATGCAGTTGAAGGAAAATGCGACTACAAAGTAGCATATGCTATACAATTAACAAGATTAATAAGCTCAATGAATTCACAAATTCTTTCAAAAGAATCACTTTGGGAGTGTGGTAATTATGAGGTACTCAGTATGAAATCTTTACAGATCAAGAGCAAAATTGAAAAAAAACAACAAATTGCACATTATGGACAATTTAGCTATAGATTTTGTACAGTACCTTAGCACAATATGTTGTCCTAAACTCAACCCCAAGCTGCTGTTTCCAGGCAATTTAAAAGTGTACTGGTAGGTGTCCTCGGTCAATTGAGTCACAGACCTTATGATGAAAGCCATAAATATTTCTGGTGTTAGGTCTGAATTGCTACTCTGCAAGAACAACAATAAATAATTACTATTTTAAACAATACCCTCCAAACTGTGAGCCAATTCAAATGTGGTATTACAAATAAAAAGAATTTTTTAAAACCAAATACTATCATTATCTAATTCAATAGGTTCCCCTTTTTGAAATCCTATTTAAATTCCAACACCTATGTATCCAATTCTGAATTTGGCAATGCCTTTCCTGCTAATGAGGAAAGAAACCTAAAGACTCTGAAATTAGTAAAAGCAAAAAACCTCCAATGTATAGCAATAGAAGGTATGGTAGAACACAGAATATGTAGACATTTTTCTGTCTTGCTTTTTCTTACATCATTTCTTTCAAAAGCAATTCCTTATTTTACACCAGACTATCTGCCTGCCATATTTCTCTTGGCAATGATTTCAATAATTCCAGAACATCATGCAAAATTATGTGTAAAGATCTGGTTAAAAGCTTATTTTCTAGACTTCTCAGTCTCACATAGACCTACCCCCATCCTCCAAAACAACAACAACCAATCTCCCCCCTCCTTTCATATTTTTGATGTTACCATAAATTTAATATTTTTCAGAGCATGAAAACCACTGTATTCTTTTTGAATCTTTTTTAGCCTTAGAACTAAACATTTTGAACAAGAAAGTAATAAAGTATCTGTAAGTTCTACATTGAAGGCTAAGAGAAATGGCTTCCAGGCTAGAATCTCAATCAACTCAATGCAAATAATGAAAAAGTCATAATCCTGATATTTTTATTCGTCAACCCTCACGTTCTCCTGATTTCTCCATCTGTGTACATTACCTCTGGTTTTATAAAATCATGAAACAATCTGTGCACTGTTTACTCACAAGTAAGTTCCAAGAACTTCAAGTAAATCTGTTTAAGCCTGTAGTTGTTCAGGTAGTCCCCGGTTTATGGCAAGTTGCTTAGCAATCATTTGAAGTTACAACAGACTTCCTCAGGGCTATTTATATAACCTGGATTAGAAATTCTGATGGATCCCACTCCACATGGTCATGTGATTGCATTTTGGACATTCAGCAACCAGTATACATATATAGTCATTTGCAGCATCTAATGATCAATTTCTAGCACAAAAAAAAAAGCCCACTATGGGTTTAATGATTGTGGCATTTGCTTAACAACCACAGTGATTCACTTCATGACTTCTGCAATAAAGACCATAAAATCAGGCACGGTAATGTGGTGACCCATATAATGACCAGCATGATGGTGCTCAATGATGGTGATAGATCAAGGACCACCTGTACAGCACCATCCTGTGTGCAGGTGATATTTCTACTGAGTTCTAGGTTACAGCAGTTACAAAATAGAAGTCTTATTTGCAATAATATCTTTTCTAGCATTCCTCCAATACTTATTTATTAGGTATAATACTAATAATATAATATTTATTTATCTTTATAAATATGATCTCTTGACTTAATTTGTACTTTATTAAATATTGATTTAATAGATATAATACTAATAATACAATAATCAAATCTCTGCATTCTTCCCAGTTCTGGGAAATTTGAGAAGCTTGACTGTGTTTTAGAAAGCTAAAACAGGGTAATCCTTAATCTAGGGAAAAAATAGGTGACAGTATGGAGAATGCTTGAATTAAATTTTTCCCCAGAGTGTAACATAGAGTCTAGTATTCATTCCTCTACTTGAATTTTGATCCCAAATGTTTCTTTATCTTTTTGATAGACGTTTTAAAGAAATTACAAGCAAAATAAAAGAGAGTGAACACCCTGGCTTTGTATCTTTAATTATCGGAAGACTTGTAGGGAGAGTTCCGGTTTGCTGTAATCTGTGCTGTAAATAAATAAAAAAATTAGGTCTACGTAAGGCAGGGGTGTCAAACTGGATTTCTTGGAGGACTGGATCAGCACTGTAGTTGTCCTCCATAGGCCAGCTGGGGGCGGGGCGGGGAGGAAGAGATGGCCTCCTGCAGCACCCTGCCAGCCAAAACAGGCCTTATGGGGGCTGCCCTTGTCCCCCTGTGGCCCGTTTTTGCTAGCAAAGGCCCCACGGGCTGGATCCAAGCACCCCACAGACCACATCCGGCCCACAGGCATTGAGTCTGACACCCCTGGGGTAAGGCATTCAAAAGAGTGCTTTGCAAAGTATGAATACGACATCCCCTTCAAAGTATTGAAACAGCTGCATCCTTTGGTAGAGCTATGTGGCTGCTTTTGTGGGAAATGACAGATAAATGAAACAACTCTGCACGCACTTTCAACACAGGGGCTTCATTTACACGAATACATTTTGTGAAGCATCTCTTCGAAATGTTTTACACAGCCTTAGTAATTTTAATAATAATCTACTTGCTGCTTCTTTCTGGAGAGAAGGCTTATATCTTCTTTTGCTTTGGCTTCTTCCCACTTCTTTAGGTCTTCCTGATATATATCATAAATGCAGGGTTTGCAGCCACTGCCACAGCACTGAGATGACAGTGGCTCTTTGGGCTTCAGAGATAGCCAGATGTCTTCACTCTGATCCATTACCTACAAAACACAATCCAACATTATTCCATTTAAAATTACTGAATGGGGATGATTTCTCTCTTCTGCATCAGACATGGAAGCAAGTGTCATCAAGTGTAGAATAACTGCAGGGCATATGATGTACTGTGATGCAGTTAGGCCGCACTGGAATTTAAATGAGAAAAGGCCACGTTCAAAAGCCACCTTTTTAATAAAGTTTTTTGACATTTTAGGCTCTATCCTATTCAGACCAGCTTACCTAACAGGTTTGAGGTGAAAAAACCCCCGATAGGGTTGTATCGAGCCTCTTAATAAAGAATATGAATTAATGTACTACATACAACAAACTATGTCTTGCCATGGATCGGAATTTTCATCCTTTTTGGGGACAAAACTGGCATGAAAAATCAGAACGGATAAAACAGTAGCACCATGAAAAAAACCCCACTAATTTTGATTTTCTGTGAATGGAGGTTTAGGATTCTAACATTCTTTTAGTCATATTAAGTTTTAAAAAATATAAAATAGGAACTAGGAATAACCTAAAAACTAAGAATAAAATTGTGTTGTTAGTTAAAGCTAAATTTATATCTCTAACCCAAACTAAAATGGCCCAAATCTGAAAATATTATACAGGTAGTCTTTGACTTACAACACTTCATTTAGTGACCGTTAGAAGTTACAATGGCACGGGAAAAAAAGCGACTTATAATCGTTTTACGACCATTGCAGCATCCTCATGGTCATGTGATCGAAGTTCAGATGCTTGGCCGCTGACTCATATCTATGATGGTTGCAGGGTCGCAGAGTCATGTGATCCCCTTTGTGACTTTTTCACATGTAAAGTCAATGGGGAAGCCAGATTCATTTAACAAAACCATGTTAACTAATTTAACAACTGGAGTGAATCACTTAACAGCTATGGCTCTTGTTAAATGGGGCAAAACTCACTTAACAACTGTCTTGTTTAACAAAGGAAATTTTGGGCTCAGTTGTGGTCGTAAGTCGAGGACCACCTGTACACTATTGATACCCCAACATTTGTGAATTTAGAGCTGTCAAGAAGTCAAGAAGATAACAATGGTACCTTGCCACTGAGGATGTCTATTTCAGTTAACAAATGACAGCAATCAACCATTTTAATTGATTTTAACAAGAACATGGCAGAATCTGGTAACATCCAAAGACATGACATCTATCTGGATGTCAGAGCTGCCATTCCATGCCAGCCATGCCTCGCAACATGCCAGCGTCTGCCAAGGCTACCAGAGGAAGGCAGCTGCTGGGAGGGCTAGCTTCAAGGGAATTGAAACTACTCATCATGCGGTACCGTAAGAGCCGCCGGAAGTTCCAAGGTCACAACATGGAATGCAACACCATCTTGCCCGCTAACCCAGGGACTGTTACCCAATTTGTTTGAATGACAGATACAGATAACCAAGTGGAAAGGGGCAAAAGGAAAAAGTTAATCGAGTGCTTTGGAGGCTAAAAGTTAGAACCAGCTTCGCTACGCTGTTATCAAATTGCCTTAGTAAATAGTGTACACTTTGTAGCCATGGCCTCCAGAGTCTTTCTTTGCTAACTGACTGACTTGGGATGGCTGACATTGAGTCTGAGAAGAGGATTTGCCTATGAAAGGCAGCCAAATGCCCAGGCTACTTTGCTATATGAGGATATGAACATTTGAACTTGTGGCAGGGTGCTAAAATGACAGGCTGAACAGTGTACAAGTGTACCAGATTTCTACCTATTAAATGGTTATTGGACAATGGACATTTTCTCATTATTGAGTTAAAGTTGGCCAAAAACCACACTGGTAAAAGTTTGTTCTCCCTGTAGCCTATTCTGCCTGTATTGATTTTGTTGTTACTGCAATTATAAAATATCCTTCCAAAATACTGATCTGCAGAAGTATTCCATAGGCAGCATAGTTGGTTTCAGACATTGCTTTGTTTTGGTCATGCCCAGAGGGAATTTTTTGTTTGGGATATGGACCAAAAACATGACTGTTCTTGGAACAAAGTAGTTTAAAGGCATAGAAGAATGGCAGTATGCCAAGGAAAACAACTGTAGCAACTGAGTAGGGAGTGTGGAGGAGAAAAATACTGGGAAAATTGGGGATGGGAGGAGAAAATAATTCAGATGTCAACTACCTCTACATCTGTTGGAAAAGCAAGTTGGTCAAAAGTGCAAGATCCCCCACATTCCCCCTATGCTGCTGACTTAATCCTTTTGCGGATCAGCTGCCTCATTCTTCTGTGTCTCACTGTTTAGATACATCTAAAATACTCTGGACGCTGCATGTTAGGAAGGGCATTGAGAAACTGAACTGTGGCCATATGAGAGAGTCACCAAAATCAGCAACCAAAAAGAAAAAATTCTGAAGAACAATAAGTGATGGGAACATTTATTGATGAAAAGATGGCAGGGAGACATAATAATCGCCTTCAAATATTTCAAAGGCAGTAGAGGTCAGGGCAGAATTGTTCCAGGACACAGGACAAGAAGCAAAGGAATTAAATTACAAGGAAGCAGATTATAGATCAGGAAAAACATCTTAATGGCAAGTTATTTCACCATGGAAGAGACTGGCTTAGCATTTTTTTGGATGGGGGGGGGGGGAAGGGAGGTTAAACAAAAACAGGATACACATCTGTCAGGTATAGGTTGGCCCGATTTCAACATGATGGGTATTACTGGGTGATTGTATCCGGCTCCTTGTAATCTGTGCTATGCACACCATGTAAATGAAATAAGAGTGTCAATCATCTGCCTGCCATATTGAAGCTAGGACTGTTACTGTAGATTCCCTGATTTAAGCTGGAAGGTTTTCCAACCCTTCATCCTGTCAATCTATAGCAAGGGTCTCCAAAATTAGCCACTTTAAGACTTGTGGACTTCAACTCCAATTCTGGGAGTTGAAGTCCACATGTCTTAAAATGGCCAGGTTTGAAGAAGACCTCTGATCTACAGGCTGTGCAGAGATCTTGTGAGGCAGTGATCCCCAACCTTTTTTACGCTGCAGCCCGGTACCGGCATCAGCTGGGCGCCGCCATCTCTTTTTGATGAAAAAGTGCTTCCGGTGACCTCACCGGAAGCACTTTTTCATCAAAAAAAGATGGCGCCGCCAGCTTTCTACCCGGAAAAGCTCACCGGAAGCGCTGGCTTTCTACCCAGAAAAGCTCACCGGAAGCACTTTTTCATCAAAAAAAGATGGCGGCACCCAGCAAGCCAGCGGCCCGGTAGGACTTGTTCCGCGGACCGGTGGTTGGGGACCCTGTTGTGAGGGGATTGATGGCATTTGTCTTTCTCCATTTCCCCTCCAAAATCACCCTAGGGTCCCTCCCAATATTGGCCAGAGCAATTAAAACATTCAGAGATTTCTTTCAGATGAACAGTGGGTAATCAAACAAGCCTGTTTGGTGCACGCTCCAAAATAATACGACACAACACCTCACACTTCATTTTACACACCTCCAGAGGCTCTTGGATAGTATTGGAATAAGCGGAAATGCTACTGATATGCTGCTACAGCTAAGAACTACTGAAAGCTTCCTCACTCATGGGGGTGGGGAGTAGCTGAAAAAGATACTGAGGCATGTTCAATCAGAACAGAGTTGGAAGGGACCTTGGAGGTCTTCTAGTCCAACAAACACCCATCGCCCCCTTAAGCAGGGGACCCTAAACCAGCGGTCTCCAACCTTGGCAATTTTAAGACTTGTGGACCAGAGCTGACGTCCACAAATCTTAAAGTTGCCAAGGCTGGAGACCCCAGCCCTAAACCATTTCAGAACAAATGACTGTCCGGTCTCTTCTTAAAAGCCTCCAGTTGTTGAAGCCCCCACAACTTCTGAAGGCAAGCTGTTCCACTGGTCAATTGTTTTCTCTGTTAGGAAATTTCTCCTTAGTTCTATGTTGCTTCTCTCCTTGATTAGTTTCCATCCATTGTTTCTTGTTTCGGGACTGGTGCTTTGGAAAATCAGTTGACCCCCGTCTTCTTTATGGAATATTGCTATGATGTCACCCCTAGTCCTTCTTTTCTCTAGACCAGCCATACCCAATTCCTGCAACCGTTCTTCATACGTTGGCATCCCAATTGGGGAAATGGGCTTAAAGGCTGCCCACCGTTTGAAGACTTCGCTCTCTTCATGTACTGAGCAGAGACCAGAGTCTTTGAGCCTGCGCGGCCCCGCCCCTTCGGGAAGGATTGAAGCGGCTCAGCCCCGCCTCCCTCCCGCTAGCTCTGCCCCGCTCGGGAAAAGCGCCCCGCCCGTCCGCCGTCAATCACCCAAGGTGCCCGCCTCCTCTCCCGGCATGCTTTTCGCAGCCGGATCCAAAAATGGCTGCTGCCCTCTGTCTTCGCTGAAGTGACCGGGGCGGAAGATGCTGGCGGCGCGGCGGCTGGTTAAGCGAGACGGGTGCTGGGCGCCCTGGGGGCAGCGCCGCAACAGGGGCCTGTACGGGCCGAGGACCCTCAGTCGTCCCTTGCCTCGCACACCCTGGACTCTGAAAGGGCCGCCGCCCGAGGGAGCCCTGCCATGGTACTTACGGAGACCGCCGCCCGTGCGGGAGCAAGTACCCGAGCTCGACACGGTGACGTACGCGGAGAAGATGTACCGGGTGCCTTGGCTGGCCAAGCCGACCTTCCCGAAGTGGGAGAGGGGCTGGCACGACCCTTACCACCGCCAGAGCATTCCCTTAGAAGAGCTGCCGGACTACAAGACCCGGCCTTGCTACGAGTTTCACCGCAGGAGCCGCTTGGAGGAAGGTAGCCGGTGGCGCGCGGGCGGTGGGCGGGGCTTGGTCAAGGACGCCCCACCCCCCCCCGCTTTCGAATGGGGGGCGCGCGGGGGGGGGGGGGGGGTGGCGATTCGGTTATGCTAATGGCAGTCGGCAAAACGGGCTGAGGTAAATTTGAGTTGAAACTGCAAATCAGCGAACGGCACTACGTCTTTATTTGTATGACAAGGGCTGAGGCTCAGGCGGGGAAAAAAAACGTTATTTCGATACAGGTAGCCCTCGGATTTACAACGGTTCATTTAGTGACCGTTCTAAGTCGCAGCGGCATTGGAAAAAAGCGACTTATGACTGTTTTTCATACTTATGACCGTTGCAGCATTTCCATCCCCACCCACTCCACAAGTCATGGGATTTACATTCGGATGCGCAGTTTCCCGGGGTTGGTGACCTTCTGACAAACAAAATCGGTGGAGAAACCAAATTCACTTAACAACCATGTTACTAATTTTGCAGCTGCAGAGATTCACTCAGCAAAGGCGGCAAGAAAGGTGGTTAAATGGGACAAAACTCGCTTAAACGAATTCCTCACTTAGCAACATAAAATTTGGGCTCTGTTGTGGTCGTAAGTCGAGGACTACCTGCAATGACATTAGTTGTATGCATATTTTAATGTTGTTTTTGTGTCTTCCGGTCAGTTGTTGACTCCCAGTGACTGCCTGGAGAAATCAGTGTGATTTTTCTTGGCAACTCTTGCTAAGGCTTGAGAGTGACTGGCCCAAGATCGCCCATTGGGACTAATGACTCATGATCTCCCATTTTTTAACTTGACGCCTTAACTATTACATCAAGCTGGCTCTCTATGCTTACATATATCTGTAAACAGATAGCATGTAATATTGTAAAAAAAAAAAAAACTAGTCCCATCTGATTCTAGGATAGCCACACTGGCCCAATTAGGTGCAAGGTTATTTCCATAGCAACTCAATTTATTCCATTTACTGTACTTATTGTACTTATGCCATATTCATGCTCTTCATGCCTTTGTAATTATATTCTTTTTCTACTTCTGTAATCAGATGTGGAAGTAGTAAACAGTAGTTGTCATTGTTGAAGGGAATTGAGTATTGTGTATAATATGAAAAGCATATATTCATTTCTCTGTGTTAATATGTACATATTTATTTTGAGGTGTGAAGCAAGCATTGTGGCTAACCAAAGCAAAGCTAATCAAAGGCTTACCTCCCCCAATACTTACCATCATGAATGACATAACTCCCCTGTTGGAGGACCAGGATGAGATAATTCTAAATGCAATTTCTCATGCTCGTTTTTGGGCTGACACTGAAGATATTTCCTTTGATAAATACAGGTATGTTTTAAGCCTAAATTTTCTTTGTAGCTTCAGAGTTGTTGGTGCTCTTTGTCATTCTTTTAAACAAGTTTTTTAAACAAGTTAAAATTAAACAAGTATGTTTAATTGGATAATATCTCACAGTAGCTTCCAAAAATGTGTAAAAAATATGAGTGCTGCATTCTCTGAGATGCTGCTTATTATACTTTCACTGGTTTCTGCATGTAAAATAGGTAGTTCATCCTCTTAAATGACTCAGAAATGCTGTGTTGGATATATGTACAAGTATGCTTCCGTGTAAGATGCGTGGAGTCACCATATATGAGATGGCCATATTAACTTGTTTGATAAATATTTTTTTACTTTTATAAAAGCATTTTTTTTTCCTATCAGGAGTTTGGGAAATATTTTTCTGAGCTTTTACCTTGTATTCCTTGCATAATGCCATATGCCTGTTTGAAAATGTTAAGCTAGGCAACTGCTGGTGGTTATTGCCAATGTACAAGGTACTTTACAAAGAAAAAATAGACAAATTGTTATTCCAAAGGTTTATAAGGATAAGCAACATGGTGCCCCAGTAAAAGTATCTGAATCCTCATTAGATTAGAAAATCTCACATACTTTGAGGAGAGAAAAATGCACAGGATCACAGAATGTCAAAATCTAATACAATTTGGTCATCTTATGAGATTTAGACTATTTTTTAAACTTGTGTTTAGTTTTTGATTGCCTTGCCTAAAAATGTTAGTCCCCAATCTATCACTTAAAGAAAAAAGGTAAACAAAATGAGTGCAAAATATGTTTTATTTCAGTTATATGATTTCATTACTTTATATGAATGGATGTTTTTTTTTTCTGAAATAAAAAGAGGAATTCTAAAAAGGCTTCGGAAGGGCAGGTATTTTCTTGACTTTGTTTTAAAACTGAAAAAAATGAAACAACAGTTTTGAATGTATGGGAAGAATTTTGCAGTAAATTTTATTTGGTTATTCAGGATTATATATTGAGAGAAGGTATAAAATTATTTCTATCTTTCCCAATTATTGTCCCTCTCTATAATTAGAAAAGGCAGAATAAATTTGGAAAATAAGTATAATTTGTAGTTATAATAACCTTTAAGATAATTTGTATAAACTTTATTGTAACAGTTGAAGTATCAGTAACTTAAAACCAGTTGGATTAATAACGAAAACCTGACATGTTATCTCATGTACATTTATAACTATCACCTTATTTTGTGTTTGCCATTTTGCAAATATTACAATAAATATCAGTTAAGAAAATCCTGATACAGTGAAACTTCTGGCTTGGATCTAATTATCCTCTTGTTCTGAAGTCCTGTGCTTCTGGAAAACCTGCTCCACTTGTGCAGGTCAATGACTGTCAAGTTCCCCTCATTGAGTAAAAGAATGATGTCCCAAGACTACAGAGCAACGGCTACATGGGAACGAGGTTAGTTAAAAATGTAAGCTTTCTTTATGGCAAGCATAATGTTAATAAACTGCAGAAAACTAAGGATAAATATCCCAGATGATCTTCTGTGGTATAAAGGTTTGTCCTGAATAGAGAGGAGGATTTGTTTCTTCATATTTGAAGCAAACAATTCCTAGAGAGGAGGGACTTCACTGATCTATTTGTATGTGTGGGTGGGGAGACAATCCAGGCACTGGGTGGATTAAATTCCACTACCAGTTATCAAAAATCTATAGAATTTTTTTTACAAAGATAGAATGCATAGTTAGAACAAATATAAAGCATTTTTGTGTTCAAAGAACAATGTTAAACTCAGATTTCAAATGTCATTTTCTGATAGCAGCTGAGCCAGTGTAGGTTGGTAGATCAATAGAAGTACTTGATGTTGTCCTATTCAGGTTCTCTATGATTTCCAGAATTGGAAATGAACAATAGCCATTTGGGAAGTGTTCATTAAAAGTTTTTTTATCTCTCATTTTTATAATATCTGGCTTATAACGAACTAACATAAGTTATTTTCTTTTATAGAGTCTACTCTCATTCAGATTCATATTACCGGTGGAAAGCTTCTGAATGCAGTAAATTGTCTACAACCTATAGCATCCAGTGATGAGATATTAGCCACTGAAGATTATGATTTAGAAACTTTCTATCCTATTTCACCTATAATTGATCTTAGGGAAAAGAATGTATACAAAATAAAAAATGACACTGGTAAGATTAAACACAATCAGTTTCACAATTTCTTAATTTGTATATGTGAATCTACTAAATGAAATACGAGAGTAAGAAAGTCTTAATACAAAGAGTTGAATGAATGTAACCGAAGCATCAAATGTCCTAAGTAATTGTCCAAAGATTGTGGATTATATGCAGATGGTCTTTTGCAGTGAGTTGTGATCTTTTACTAAATTATTCCCTAATTTAAATAGGTTTCAACAAAGACTACCCATATCCTTATCCTCATACATCTTACACTATTGAACGTGGAAAAAGGGAGAAATCGGAACATTTACAAGCCAGAGTTTTGATGTTTGCTTTTGGGAATGCACTAGCCAAGGCTAAGGAACTTTATGGAGTAAGTAGTATAATTTAGAAGGAAAAACTATGACTTGTCATAACTGATCAAGAGATGCTGGTTATTTTTGCTCTTGAAAGTTCCATTAACTGCACTTCATCAATATTGGTCCATTAACTGCTAACATGAAATATATACAGCTTCTGCAAATCTTGATTTCAGATTTTGAGAAAAGGTGAAAAGTTACAAATCTAGGACATAACTTGTTTGGTTCTTAATAAACTTGAGTTTTATTGGCTGGCTGTGTGAAGGCACATAATCAATGTGAAGGCACTGTGAGAGTAGTAGAGCTGACAGTACTGAGTAGAATGATCAAAGGTAGCAAATTCATATTGCTGATCATATAGATGTTACGATCATAGTACATAATTTTGGATTTTAACGGGCAAATGGAATTTTAAACTTTGTGAATGTATGAGATAGCTGGATGTATTTTTGAATTTCCTATGTTAAGATTAAATAATTTCTATAACACTTGTAATTCCTGAAGAGTTATGACTACTATAAGAGAAATTCATGAGATTGAAATGGTTTTGGTATATCATCTAATGTTGGAGATGACAAAAGCCAGCACTACTTTTCCTATTTCTTAAGCTGTGGAAATTTGGCCTGGTCTTCGGCAACGTCACCTGTGGGTTTTCTTCTACATACAAGGTCATCATAAGTCAAAATACAAGCAGGAATTTGTGTTTGTTGAATCTGCATGTTACATAGATCAGGAAAGCATGCCAGCAATTGACAATGGTGTGATGGCCATGTATCTGATTAATGCCCAGTCATAACTTCCTAATATGTGCGACAGCACAGTTTGTCTCATACAGCTTTTCTTTTTTTCCTTGCCCAGGATGAACCCAAAGTCTTGGAGAAGCCAGTAGTTGTTCAGAGTGTTGGTACAAATGGTCAAGCTTTCCACTTTGTAGTGTTTCAGTTAAACACAACAGATTTGGACCCTAGCAATGGTGTTAAAAACCTGGCCTGGCTGGATGAGAATCAGCTTTTGTATGAGGATGCCAGGAAACGTCCAGAAATCAAGAAGAAAATAGTTCTGGTATGTTATGAAAGTGAAATTACTTGTTAATCAAGCTATTGCCAAAAGAACAGTTAGCTTTTTAATTGGTTAGGAAATGTTTATTATTGGTTAGATCTATGTTTGGCTTTTTCTCCAGGAGCTCAAAATGACTTATGTCAGAGGAGCTCAGTCCTTATCAGAACCACATGATGAAGTAGATGGGCTAAGAGAGTGCAAGTGACTGATTAAAAGCACTTAAGCTTTCCACAGACAGTAGAAAATGAATTCCCTAGTCCTAATCCAACATCTACACCACCCTGGCTCTCATACAACTGCTTTTAAGGCTAATGCGGTTAATGGTAAAGCTATTTTAAAGTTTTCAAAGCTGTATTACTGTAACATACTGTACTGGTCTGAAAACCATACTTAATGCAAAATGTAGCCACTAGGCAACACTAGGATGCAAAGCTTGGGACCAGATTCTCCTAACTTATATCAGGTTCTCCCACTACATCAGTCATCTGTGCTTGGCTTGCAAACTGCTGTATGGTATGCTAATATCAGTGAAGGACAGCCTTCTCTCTGGTGCCTTTTGTCCTGTGAAATGACCATTCCCTACTAATACATCAAGCATTGTTGTTTTTTTTTAAAAAAATCATCCTATTTAGTTTGATCATTCCCAGCCATATGTATGCTGGATTTTTTTACAAAAGAAAAATATGTATCTAATTGAATTTATAAAGTGCTTCAGGAATATTTACAGTGAGTATAAATATGGTTCTAATATTTTTAAAAATAAAAATCTTCCTCCACTGGAATAGGGTATTTTGGAAGTCCTTTGACAGAAACCATCTCCAGTGTTAGAGGGTGGTTCAAACAGATCATATAAATCATTATACGTGGGACAGTTTTAATGCTATGACATGCTTTCTAGAATGCATGTCCATCTCTTTAACACTGGGTCAGAATTCCTAATGTGTTTTGTCTCATGCTGAAAATTGTAACTGGTTGACAGTTGACAAAGTTTCCAAAAGGCAGAAATCCTATTACTTACATTGCTGGTCTTATTTTTTTCTGATTCATTGACGAGAAGAAAACTTTCTTGAAGGGAAAGAGAGAATGTATCATTAAATGCAGTAACACATTGCAACATTTAGATGCTGTCCTAATTTGTGTGCTAGACATTGAAATATCAGGTTTTTTCTCTACAGATTCCTGCTGGAATACATGGCTACAATCCAGACACATTCAAAAAATTCCTGGCACTCTACTTGCATGGTATTGTGTGAACAGGTCCCAAGAAGTCTAAACTCAACTTGTTCTTCCTGAAATACTACAGTAGATGTACAGTTAACACAAGACTGAAAAGGATATGTTATTTTTAATAAAAGATATTTTTAAATACATGTGTTAAAGCTTAATTCTTTTAAGAATTAGAGTAAGATTTGATACAGTGTTTCAAGGAGGCCACGGTTTTGGGGGAAGAACTAATTAAGTCAAAACTTTTAACCACTTTGAAGGGTATTTTAATTCACAACATTGGATGTGTATACTGGAAGATACATCAAATTAGGATGATTTTTAATTTAAAAATTTAATTTAAAGCAGATCTATCTGGTGAATGGATTCAGGAAAGTGTGGAAGGCAAGGCAGTTACATTCTTGCCTAAATATGGGGAAACATGTTTCTTTGAATTTTGTTTCTCAAAAACCATGTTTCACTCAAAACAGTTTGGCAACTTATCCAGAGCTTGCTTGTTCTGGATTTGAAACAAAACACTTCTGCTTTGAGCCATTAAAGGAAAGAGTTTTCCCTGGGGTATTCTCTTGTGCAATAGGAAGTGCTATAATGGTTGTATTGGGGGGGGATTCATGCTTACCTAATTAAAATAGTTTAGGCTTATAAAAACTGACAAAGGTAAATTGCAACAGGTATTTTCCACCCAAGCTCAAATTTGTAACTTCCCTAAAATGGAATATTAACTATTTTATAATGGGTTTGTAGAGGATGCATTTTTGGGTATTACTGAGCATAATGTTCTGTCTTAGAAAACTTAGCAGAATTATTCAGTATAAGGTCTGTAGAGATTCTCAGTCATCCAGGTCATGGTTGTCCCAATGGTGCTTTTGCACCATTGGGGCAATCATGACTGGATGACTGAGAATCTCTACAGACTTTTAGCTGTCCAATTTGGGATGAACACCCTTTGAATGGTGCGGGAGTAGGAATGGATTTCCAGAGGAAAAAATGCAGACTACAGGAACCAAGAGCACTACTGAGGTGACCCTGAGGACAAGGATAAACCTCCAAGTGCTTCAATGCCTCTAAAAGGATGCAGATTACCAGCTGTCTGCAAGGAATATAAATTCATTCCCCACTATCCTCTCAGAATTGAAGAAACTTCTTGGATGAAAAGCAAAACATCTTCAAAAGGAAAAAAAAGTCCAGTTACCTCCTACAAAAGCACCTTTGGGATATTCAGCATAGATTTATGAAGGATAAAGAACAACTATTGAAAAAAAATAAGCATAGCTACTGCAAATCTTTTCCAGCAGCATCTTATTAAGCTTAACAAGAAAAGTACTCATTAGCTAATTAAGATTATAGGAAAGATTAGTAACTCATGGAGAGGATTTCCTAAAAATATTTCATTGGATGCAATTTCATGAGTAATGTAGAATTATAAAAATATTGATATTAGGTTTATATAAAACAATGCAAGATATGACAAAGCCCCCAAAGGGTTTCAAAGTCCTTTTCAGATGTGGTTGCTGTGTTCCAAATTATGCACAAACTCCTCAGCCTTCCTTTTCCCCAACACAAGTGTCTGGCATAAAAACCAGAGGTGGTTTTCAGCAGGTTCTGACCAGTTCTGGAGAACTGGTAGTGGAAATTTTGAGTAGTTCGGAGAACCGGCCAATTCCACCTCTGACTGCCGCCTCCCCGCCCCCATCTATTCTCTGCCTCCTGAGTCCCAGCTGATTGGCTGGGTCTTCTTTTGTTGCCCTGCCCAGGAGAACGGAGCTGGAAAACAGGTTAGTGGGGTGGGGAGGGAATGGGGATTTTACAGTATCCTTTCCGTAACGCTCCCCAAGCCACGCCATGCCCACCAAGCCACGCCCACAGAACCGGTAGTAAAATTGTTTGAATCCCACCACTGATAAAAACTATATGTGCTTGTACCTATATTTAAATCTATAGCATTGCCAATGACTGGAATACTACCATACACCTTAGAAACCCTAACTGGAAGAATGCAACAAAAACAAGGTGGGACCTTACATAATTTTTTTTTTTTTTTTGCTCTTATGCAGTACTTGGAACATCTCCAGGAAGAAAACAATGAGATAATATAAAGTTATGTATATAGCGGGGAGAAGATTTGAAAATGTTAGAAGTTGGAATATTGATTAGGAAAAGATTAGGCCAATCAAATTTCATACAAAGAATAATGCAAAAAAAAAAAAAAAAGGGTGGGGGGATGAGCCAGGCTAGTTAGTTACAAGATGGAATTCACCTGCATTAATAACTTGCTGCCAATCTATTGCAATATTGACACTATGTTTAGATGCCTCTGCAAATCACTGGCTAAGGAGCAATATTCAGGGATGCATTGCCTTCTTGTTATCTGATTAGTCATTACATGGGAGACTAGATGAACTTTCTTGATAAATTGCAATAAAACTATAAAGATATCTGGACATTACTACATTGTGTTGCATCTTTTAGAGCAAATCTGCACTTCAAGTTCTTAAATGTTTTACTTTGATTAAATGTATAACCATTGCAATTTGATTGGGATCTTTAAAAAAATATTTTAATGTGCTTTTTGCAGGGTTATATAGGCTGCTTGTGATAAAACAAGAGGAAAGCAAAACCAGTAATTGGCTGGAAAGCTGGTCACTGAATCGTCAGGACCTTCCAGCTAAATTATATAAATTACGCTTACCAGGGGAGAAAAATCCATTCACACTTCGTAGAATTCATTGCATAGGATGGGGAAGAAGGGCAATCTACCTTCATTCGGCTCATAGTTAAAATACCAAACATGGCTTCCAGTATGTGAGGGTCTGACTGGATAGAAACTGGCTGTCCCAGGTCAAATATATCAGTTTAATCTTGCATCACAGGTCTTTGAAGCTGCCATGTTTTAAATCACCTCAATCAGAACAGCTGGTTGAATTTTGACAAATGTAAATATGCTCTGACAGGCCAGTGAAGTATTTGTGTAATTGCAAGCGGAGATGATGACAGCACTTAACCAAACTGTTCTCTCACAGTTAGGGAGCCAGTAGACCAAACAAATAAATAAGCCCTGCTGTTAATACAGGGAGACCTGGCTGAGCTGTTTGTCTCTTCTGGATATAAAAAGAAAGTGCGCCGACAAAAGCAACAGGAAACCATCAGTATTCTCAACATGGCTTTCAGCCTCTTGCTTCCCCCTATTATGAGTGCTGACAAATAGTCTCTCTTCCTCCAGTTTCTTGACTAGAGTGACAATGCTAAGGCTGCCCCCCCACCCCCAGGGACCCGCCAAAAGGTTTGTGATGGCTTTTGAAGCTGCTCCCACTCGTTGATCTCTTTTGTCTGAACTGCTTCAACAGGTAGGCACGGGCTCAGATAACACGAGGAAACCTGTATGCTTTTCGAGGGGGAATGGTTCCTTAGCAAGCACCCTTGATGTGAGGCACGCTTGATGTGAGGCACCCTTGACATTTAATCAAAGTAAAACATTTAAGAACTTGAAGTGCAGGTTTGCTCAAATGCTACAGGTTCTGCTAATAGAAGGCTGCATGAACCCAGAGACAGCTCTTGGTCCGGTTGCACGCACTGAAATGGTAAAACAGCAAAATTAAGTACTCTACATATCCATGCACTTGAGCAGTGGTCTTTCACTATGGCATGCTTCAGCCAGGTAGTTTCCTGCACAGGTAGTCCTCGACTTAACAACAGTTCACAGTGGTGGTTCAAAGTTAACAACTTGTGAGAGTTTTTCACACGACTGTTGTAGCATCCCCTTGGTCATGTGATCATAATTTGGATGCTTGGCAACTGGTTCATATTTATGCCAGTTGCAAGTGTCAGTATATTTTGCTTTTCTAACAAGCAACGTCAATGGGAAAGCCAGGTTCACTTAAGAACTGTGTTACTAACTTAACAACTGCAGTGATTCACTTAACAACACCGAGAAGAAAGGTCGTAAAATAGGGCAAAATTCACTTAAAGTCTACTCTCAATAACAGAAATTTTGGGCTCAATTGTTGTAAGCTGAGTGCTACCTGTATTTGTTTTTAGGACTAATGCTAGATTAAAATCAACAAACCTCCCAATGGTGTTTAGCGTATATCCTGTACCTGCCCCAGTGGTGGGATTCAAATAATTTAACAACCGGTTTGCCCAGGGTCAGGTTGGCTGTCATGGGAGGCACAGCTCATCCCCATCCTCCAGCTCCGCTTCATGACCAAACAATCCATTGCTTCCACAAATCTTGAAATTATTCAACTGGAAGAAAAACTTGAGAGCTCCAGGGCATCCTTTCCACCTCTTTTCAAGGGAACAATGAGTTAAGCGTTGGGCAGGGAAGAAGAAAGAGGGCAAGGGGAAGAAAAAAAAGAGGTACAAGATGAGAAAGCTGAAACAAGATTAGCCTTAGAGATTTTGCAAACCATGAAAATGTCAAGAGCTGCATTCTAGTTATCAAAAAGAAAACACATGCTAGAATACGAAGAAGAGTGTGAGAAAGGAACAGGATGCAGAACCCAGGCTTCCTTTGGATCTTTTTAAACCAGGAGGAACAGACTTTAACTGCAGGGAATCAAGTCCAAAACCTGGTCAACAAAAACTGTAACTTTAAGTCCAATTAAGCCAAACTGAAGTAATTAGTTTGGCAGGGCAATAGCAAGAATTCCAGACGTGAAGGCATGGCAAAATTCACATGGTTGGGAAGACACCAGGAACACAGATAAGCAAAGACAACACAGGATAAAGTCATGTTTGCTCCCAGCAGCTGCTGCAGTCAGCATTCAATTCTTTGAAACTTTCATTCCCAGGTGTGGCTAATGAAAGGAATCGGGGCCTTTTCCTCCCCCGTAAGCCATGCAACCCACATTGCTCTCTTCTCCGATCCTCCCTGCGTGCCCTAGGATGAAGAGGCCTGGGTCTTCCTCTGAACTCCCTCTCCCTTGTTCTATCTCTCCCATGCTCTGCCCAGCTGGACTTTGCCCTTCCCCAGCCTCTTCCACAGCCATCGAAACCACACTCCCTGTCAGCTGTTCGTCTTCCTCCTCAGATTCAGACTCTGACAGAGGCATGGCAAACTACATTACAAAGCAAGTCACCCCAAAGCAGTTAGTTAAACATAATTCAGACCTGCCAAAGAGGAAAAAAATGCATGGAGGTCTATCAA